TTGATGAGCATTTGATTTGTTTGCAAGATTCAGCAATTACAAATCAGGCTGCTATTAACTCAGGTGCACATATGTCACTGTGGTAATAAGTTTTTAACTCTGATGAGGAGACACCTAGAAGGGGAATATCTGGGTCAAATGAGACCTCTAATAATAGTTTAAAAAGATATCTCCCCAGAGGTTTCTATAGTGGTATTTTTATATGATGGAGTACTATTCAGCTATCAATTAGGGCAAATTGGATACTTTTAAATGTAAATGGATAGAACATGAGTTCATACTCCTAAAAGAAATAAATCAGTCTCTCATGTGGAAATTCTGTATTATCTTCTTAATGTAAGAAGCTTGAAAAGTAAATAATCCAAAATTTATGATAGATATTGCAAAATGAAAAGAAATTGTTCAAAGAAAGAAACTGGGATGAGAAAAAGGAGTTTAGATGAAATGTAAAAGAAAAAATATATGCACAAAAAATAGGTAAGATAGTTCTACCACTAATTGCAATCAGTTAATTTAAAAGAAAGCTTGATGCTTGTATTTTTTCATTAATTTTTCACTTCTATATCTTGTAATATGAATGACTATTTTGAAGACAGAAATACTCTCTGACAATCTTAGTTTGAAAATTTGTACCACTCTTATTTTCTTTAAAATAAAAATTTAAAAAATGAAAACCAACAAAGGAAACTTATAAAATGATAGTAATAATTCAATATCTTTCAGTAAGAACCAGTAATGTACATAGCCTCAATTCTCCTACCAAAAGACACAAATTGGCACAATGGATTGCTATAAATAGTCCAACACTCTGCAGTATTTAAAAAGCCATATAATTCAATTATAAATCCATGGGTTTAAAATAAATTATGATAAATTATGTTCCTTTCAATAAAAATCTGGGAAAGAATGCCAAGCTCCATACTTATTTCAGGCAGAGTGGATTTTAAGCTATAACACATCAGAAGAGACAAAGAAGTTCTCTACAAATTGTTTAAGGGAGCAATTAAATAGGAAATAAACATAATTATAAATGTAATTTGAAAAGCACCACATTCTGTTTTGCCAAATGTCATAAAACAATCATCATTGGACATGAAACATTAGGTAATCTCCAAAACAATTCAATATCCAGGTGTTACAAACACACCCAGCACCTTCAAAAATCAGGAAAATGAAAAGTGATTGCTTGGTCTGTGGAGGAGCTCCAGCCTTCACCTGCAGCTTTGACATCCTCTCCTGGTGTTATGGTTTATGTCACGTTCCCTGCCCCCCACCCCACCCCATGTCTCATGAAGTCATGGACATGGCTGAATCAAGCACTTGTGATTTGTTCATCATTCATCACTTGGATTAGTGGTATGAGTGCTACACATGCCCAGGGGTTGAGCCAGCATTAGTGTAAGAGCTTGAAGAAATTGTGTGTTCTTTCTCTTTTGCTGGTCTGTACTTTGATCCAGGAGCAGCCATGAACCACTGCCAGTCCTCCATGCAATTTTGCCTTGGAGCCAAATGAGTATGGACTGAAATCTCCAAACTGTAAGAAATAATCTTTCTCTTCCTGAATTTTGGGCATCAGGTATTTTATTTCAATAGCAAGAGAGAACAGTAACCAAGACACATGGATTTTAGCACAAATTGTTCAGCTTTCACCTGGGACTCTTCAGCCTTCATCCCAGACTCGTCAGCCTTCCTTCATAGATCCCTCAGTGGTCTGTCATAGACCTATTGAATTTTTGATACAGACTAGCAGAAGACACTGAAGTAAGCTCAGCATTTGAGTTGGACATTTTGGCCTCCAGTGTGCAGACACCCTGTACACAATTCCTTATCTGAATCTTTGGCTGAGTACCATAAGCCAATCTTGAAATTTCCCATACATTTGTATGTCTTGCATTTTATCTGTTTCTCCAGAAAACCCTGAATGACACAATCACACTTGTTCACAATGCAAGGATAGAAAACTCCAACCTGCATCAGGTGAATCCTTCTGTGGTCCCACACTGAACTAGATGCAGTGTATTCAAATCTTAAGGGAGAAAAGGCCCAAAATATGTTCTAAAGAGCATCAAGACCTACACAGAAAGCATGATTTGACACATGATAATTTTGACACTTTCATAATTTTACAACACTGCAAGGAAAACATTAATAGAAAAACTACATGACCTGTGCCCATGCATAAAAGGGAGAAAGGAAGAGATATATACTCAAAACACTATCCCAGAGTGAGCAATCATGATATTTGAATGCTGTCATTTTAACCAAACTTCTCCAGCACACCTATGTTTTGTGTGGTTGTTGACCTCTCTGAGACATCTATTGCCTACTTAGGTAGTAGGGTCTCCCTCTGCTGATGAGAACCAGCCAAGGCCTGATTCTGCAGTTCTGAAGTGCAACAAGACCTCAATGATCTGGTGCTCTGACTCACTGGCCAGAAATGAACAAATACCATGGAGATTATTCTGACTTGGGTTCATGTTTTACATGTTTGTTTATGAAGAATAACAGGTGCTAAGTGTGTAAGTGGGCATGAGTAGGATAAACTACTATGTGTGATTTTCAGGAGCTTGACTCTCTGTTTGCAGGTATTCAAGTGAGTTACATTTGGTAGAGTGTGCAGAGCCTCCAAGAAGCCCTCAGGTTTGAAGAATCTCCTGTGAAGCTTCTGGATTCACTCACCTTCAGTAGCTAAGTGTACCACTTCTTCCAGGCTACATGAAGACCTGGTCTTGCTAATTAGTAAGTGGTGGAGAAAGTATTTATTACATAGACTTCATGAAGATTAAAAGGCCATCTCCAGAGAAGGCCAGAGCACATAGTAACTACAAATTATCAGTCTGAGAATATAGGACATAGTTATGGTCTACAGTTCAAGACAGACAGTGAAGGGACATCAGTGCAGGCCAAACACAAGTCTCCCTTCAGGAGCCCCTCCCCACGATGAGCAGGGAACACTGAGGATCCACTCAGCCCCAGGAAAATTCTCAGAAGCAGGTGCAAAAGTGGAAGCTGAGGAAAGAGGACTTGTTTTCAGGCTCTGTGGTTTGCTCATTGTCTTAATATCATATGACCTGAGGGGACCCTGCAACACATAAGCTACAGATGACATGTAAAGAAACGGAGTTCCAAGTAAATATTCTCTCAAATTTAATGGCATAAGTGTGTATTTAAAGGATTACTTTAGTGATCTTCCAAATAGGAATTTTACTAGATGGTGGAATATGATTTGCATAGACTTCAAAACACATTGAAGATTTTTTGAGGGTAGTTTTTTATTGAATGTGAAGTTATTGTGATATAAGAATTTATGTAGCAAATTTATCCCCTTGGTGAAGAGTTTTCTCATGTTGAAATAAATGCTTTAGATAAGGGGCATAAGTCCTTCACATTCCTCTCCACAGGGTCTGAGAACACAAAGCTCTGCCTTATGCTACACATCATCAGGAGTTTTGCCAACAAGTCAGTGCCAGAACCAGCAACAGGGCATTGTGCTCAGGTAGGAAAGGAATAAGGGCGACCTAACTGTACCATGCCAGAGCTCAGTGAACTCTTTCAGTTCATAGTTGCTGAACAGGCATAGAGACTACACGTTCTTTGTAGAACTTAGAAACAGGTATCATAAAACCCATGGTGACACTATCTTTAAGGTATTTTGTGGTCTCTCTCTGTGTCTCTGTCTCTCTCTGTGTCTCTGTCTCTGTCTCTCTCTATCTCTTTCTCTCCCTCTCAGTGTGTGTATCTCATCTTGCATCTACATGTCCTTCAAAGACATCATGCCTTCATCTATGGGGCTTTTGAAAGGGGGCGTGGACACAGGGCATGTTAATATGGATCAATGCTGTGTACTAATGAAATAGGCTTAGCATATTTCTGGGTGTAGAATTTGGACACCTCAGCCTTGTGGCACCAATTAGTAGGCTTGTAGTCTCAATAGAATACAAAGGAAAAGATGAAATCAAGCTTACTGTTACCATCTTGTCACACTATGAAAATTATTTCTGCTACCATGCCCTTTGATGATAATGCCCTGGATTAGAGCCAACAGATTATGAACTGAAGCACTTACAGACTCTTAATTTATGAGGTTTAGGCATTTTGTCCCATAAATCTGACAGTAACCAAGATCTATTTTCTTTTAAGAGTGTGGATGTGATTTTGACCTTACCTGACAATGATGTTCATGAGTCTTTGAAACTGATTTTAAGAAAGATGTTGAAAAGATTTGTAAATGCCTGCTGAAGAAGCAACCCTGGATTTCTGTATGCTGAACTTGATGGGAAGAGTGGAACATGCCTCTCTTCTCAGCACTGGGGATATTGAGGCAGTAGGGTTGTATAAGGTTCAAGGACAGCCTGGGGTATTTAGAGAGTTCAGCACCTCATTGGATATGGACTTTCTCAAAAAGACAGAAATGTAAACACACACACACACACACACACACACACACACACACACACACATACACACACACACACACACAACAAGAAATTAATGGGAGGTATTTATCAGAGATCAGAAGTCCAGAATGATGAAAGTGCATCCTTTAAAGATTAGGCTCAGTAAAACTCAGTTAGCTATAAGGACTACATTACTTTGTGGACTACAGACCATGAGTGTACTGCTTGGGAAGAAAATGTGTTGGTACTTGTGGTTTTGTCCACAGACTTTCATAAAGGCTGAGATTAAATCTACTTGGGACAATAAACCTGGCAGAACAAATTTCAAGGCCATCTAATATTGCGGTGGTTGTATGACTACAGTTGGGATTTTAACCACATTTATTTTGTGAATCAAGAACAAATGGTTCAGTGAAATGATTAAAAATTATCTTTTATTTTTTTACTTTGGACAGAACTGAAAGTTCAGTACATTTAAAGCTTGAAAAATGGAATAGAGAATAACCTGGTTGTTAAATATGAATAGGATAATAGAAAAAATGGCATTGAAGAAATCACAAATATTAGAAGTACTGCACACTCTGCAATCTCAAATTTACCAACCTTTACTTTGAGAAGACAGTTACAGTTCATCATGTTCTTTTAGGATGGTGGCCCAGCAAAATTGTTCCTCAGACTGATCTCATAGCTGTTAGAAATCGAGACATTTGTCCCCTACAAACAAAAAAAGAGAAATTGACCATTATTCCACTTGGTGGTTTACTTGGCATCTTCCAACTTGTATTGAATTTTGGCACATGCAGAATTCAAGAGTTTTGAAGTCAGGAAGGCTCTCAACCAGATTTCAGAAGAAGGCTTTGGATAGCAGGAAGTGTAATTCTGAGCAGACAGTGTTTGAAACTGTACAGGAAGCTCAATCCCAGTGAAGAACCAAGAATGTTCTTGGAGAAGCCAGAAATATTTTTCCCTAGAAGCTACACAGACAGAGCAAACGTGTCTCAACATGGAAGACATGGAATGTACATTCACTCTCATTTCTGTAGTTTCACAGAATTCAAGCCCCTGAGAGTTCACAACTTGCTACAGATTGTAACACAACCTGGATGTGTAACTATGGAATTTAAAAGATTTTCCTTCTGGGTATTAGAGTTGATTAAGTTCCATTCTTTTCTTTTTTCTCTCTGTATCTTTTTGGAACATTTACCTTGAGCTATTGTGTGTTAAAGGTGTTCTTAAAATGGTTCACTGCTTATACTTCGGTGGAAAATTTGGATTTAAGAAGTCAACATTGCTGAAAATATTAAGATTTTGCCAACTCTTATAGGTGGACTAAATGCATTTAAATTGTTTTGCACATGAATGCTTTGGGGACCATGGATGAAATGCTATGACTTGGATCTAGATGACCCCAAATACCACGTAAGTATGCTTACTTATGTGGGGATATATGGCTTTGGGTAGCCAAAAGTGAGAGAATATGGGTTAAAGTCATGTGCTAAATGGATTTGTCACAGTTCTGAGTGTGAATAATGGCAGGCCCACCTTGAATCTGAGTAGCACCAACAAATGGACTTGAAGCCTAGATAGAATACAAATGGCTAGTTGAAAGTTAAGGTAGGTTGTTTATGCCTGTCATTCCATGAAATATTTACCATGTTCCAGACTCCTCTGTCATGTAGTCATGACATGGAACCAAAGAACTATGCACTGGAATATCTATAAACTGTTATTTAAATAAAATTGTCCTCCTTAAACATCTGTGTGTTTTGTGTTTTGTAACAGCAATGAGATACAATCTCTTTGTGTCTCTTTCTCAGTCACTGTCTCATCTGTCTCTCTATATCTCTCCTCCCCATACCATTTTCTCCCATAGATTTCAATCTATGAATCAGTAAAATAATAGAGAATATTTATGATGAAATTTACATTTTCATAACATACACTGTTTCTTTATCAGAGGCTCAAAATTTCATATTGATATTACTTATTTTAAGTCTGTTGATTCTGTATGTATCAGTCATATTTTATTACAAAACTTTCCTTAAATTATCAAGCATACCTCTATACTCTATTCTCTATTCTCATGGTGATTTTTTGCTCTAAAGTAAGAGTGAATTTCATTTGCTCACTTAAACAGTGTGATGAGAGTGGCTGAAAGATGAAGAGGCTACAGGTCCTCTGTTAATTTGAGCAAAAATTTGTAGAAGCCAAGGACCAGACTGCAGATAAGACAGGAGAGGGCAAGATAGCCCTGTCCAGCCTCACTCACAAATAACTGCTACACTCTGCTCACATCCTTCAGAGACTCAGGTTCGTTTTTTCTTCTCCTCTTCGTGTCTTATTCAAGGTTTGTTCTTTTTGTTTTGGGATTTGTGGAACATCCAGGCGTTTCTCTGCATTTGCACCTAGATTCACAGGCCAAGGATCACAAAACGGAAATTCCTGCCTGAGAATTCAGACTCTGTATCCATGTCTGCTAAGGGATCTGAGGACACAAGGGGAAGAAACAAGCATCCTGAAACCAACAGAATAGCACCATGACACTCCATTTGACAGGGTGTCCTGTAGAAGTTGGGTGTCCCTAATGGAGATTAAGCAGATAACCAGGGAGCTTCTGACCCAGATGTTTCCCTGGCAGTAACTCACAGGATCAGTGGGCAATGATGCTACCTCCTCGTGTGTTTTCTCTAGTGTCTGCATTATGCAGATCAGGTTCAGGAGACACCAAGAAACATGTGTCCTTCCATAGCTCTCTTCAACTGCAACCTTGGGCTCATATGACTAGTGGTGACTGAAACATGAGGTCCTGATACCACGGCTTAGGCAGTTGCTGGGAGGGAACTCAGGACATAATGAGGGTTTGAGGTAAACACAGTTTTTAGCACTTTGGGATACCCTGAAGGCCACATTGTGAAGTTCTCAGTTTGGATTCCTGATCCAAGTTTGCTAAAGTCACTCTAGTCCTCCTCAGGTTGAATGCAGTCCTTTCTGGGCCAGACAAGCTCTGGACCATTCTATGGTCCAGCCAGGCTGCTCTATTTTGGAGCCATGATTATTAACATGATGAATGTGTCCTGCTCTGGGTCTCACCTATCAGTTGGTCTGGGACAGGTACACACATGTGGCTCCACTGGGAATTCTAGGCCCAGGCCACACTAATTAGCCTAAAGCACCTTTGATCATGGTATAGATCCTAGGTAAATCTAATTCGGTCCCTTAAGATCTAGTGCAGAGTCATCATTCTAGTGTGCCTTGCCCAATAAACTGAGCAAGAAGTCCAACAAGATGAGTCCAGTAGAATGTGCCACAGGTAGGGTATAGAGCCATGCACTAATACATGTGCTGGGTGGGCTGACACTCTGCAGGCCATACCTTCTTCACCAAGGTGTTATATAGACCATGATGATTGGTTTTGGGACATTTGCAGATGGAGTGAAGCCTGCCTTAGATACAAATCATGTTTGCCCTCACTGAAAGATACACTGCAACTGGTTCAACTCTTTCCTGTGGGCTGGAGGCAGTGTATATAAATTTTTGTGACCCAGACAGGGACTAACCTGTGGTTCAGGAGAAGCTGGATTACTAGAATCTTCCATACACTTCTACAGTTTGGGAGCAGTTGTGAAACCTGGAGCTGTTTCCTTAGGATCTGAGACCTGTCTTATTAAAAATTCATGCCCAAGAAGAAGTTCAGGTGGTATATATTTAATTCAGAGGAGGATTCAGAGTGCAGAGCCTTTCTGTGTGCTTTGATTCTTAGAGAAGTGAGGGCTGTATGCACAGGACTTACAGAAGTGGCAGGATGTTCATTTGCTCAGACAGGATAAGCACATGGATCCTCACAGCACACTGCTGCATAGCCTATGGAAAACTACTTTGTCCTCTGGTTTGATTAGGGTTGAGTGAAGAGCTAAGAAATTTCTGCCATGTTAATATGCAAATAACTCAATTTTCCTGAAGTAAATATGCAATGCTTCATTTGCCTGAGGTAAATATGGATATGTCTATGGCTACATGATTCCACAGCCATCACTTCCTTCTACACCATGTTCCTCACCATGGACCTGGCATGGAGGATCCTCTTGTTGGTGGCAGCTCTTAAGTGGAAGGTCATCCTGAAGGTTAGGGCTGCAAAGGAGACCAGAAATTTTCAGGAGACACTGACTCCAACTTGTATCTTCCCTTCACAAGTATAGGATAGGATTTTTGGTGAAATTAGATGACAGAAAATGAAGTAAAGTGGTATTTATTTTTAAGGATGTGGTGAGAAACTCCATGACCACTGGGGCCTAGCATTCTCTGGCAGACATGTAGTCTGGGGGCATGCATATAGCTTTGGTCTGGGCTGGTGCCTAAACGGTCATTGCTGACATCCTAGAAGCCCATTGGAATTCATCTTGCACCACAGGTAAATTGTCTAGTGGTGGAGAAAATGACCTGAAGGTAAATGTCCCTTGGTCCCAACTCTCAATGCTGTAGTATCCTATCTAGGGTGAAATCTTTTCATTCTTTTTTTATTGTTAGGAAAAGGGCAAAGTTTTTCTCTCTCTTAGTACTTCCTGCTGAAAAAGGGTGCCATGTTTGGGTTTAGGACAGTTGATGGGATGATGGTTGATGCCCATGCAGAAGCTGGTGCCAGTGTTCCAATCAGGATAACTTTATCATTGGTTAATGCCTGCATGTTAGACTGGAAAAACAAAGAGATAAGGTGCTATGATGAGGCAGGCCACTATCATACTTAAGGACCCAGTTGAGTTAGAAGGAAATATGCCTTTGATTTAAATATGCATAATCATTACCATGGTGAGGTAGAATCATTACCATGGTGAAGTGGAATTCTGAAAACTTAAGTGTGGGGTTAAAAGAGTATAGATATGAGAGGTGATTATTCCCCTATCTGACATGGTAAAAGTTAAGAGGGTAGGTAGGTAGGACTTGTCTCTGGTCCACAAGTTGAGCTGTAAAGAATAAGAGGTGTGAGGATGGCCATGGCTCTGTCACTACAGGGAAGGTAAAATCCTAAGCCTTCAGGGGTGTTATGTTTGACCAAACAGCTGAGGATAGAGAGAACTAAGACAGTTGTCACATAGAACAACATGAAGATGATCTTATCCATGACATGGCAGTCTTTAAGAAAGACTGTTAAGAGTCCTGCTGTAAAAAGGATAATTAATAGAATGTAAGAAATTAGGAACCAAACTGAATTACAAAACATGTCATAGCTTGAGAGTTGTGGCTGTGAGGCTTTGGTGTAACAGAGATGATAGGATGGTTAGATTTAGGACTGGGAGGGTACCACTTGAGTGACGTGGAAGCAGGATGGCAGTTTAGCAACTCTGACCACTGTTGAGGATGCCAAGAAGACCATGTATGGGCCACTCCTCCTTGGTTGTACCCTTGGAATGATTTGCCATAACAGAACTTTAATAAGTATATTAGCAGTCTCCCGGGTTATAGGAAAGGCTTTTATGTATCCTGAAAAAGTACAAAGGTGACAGATATTTGAGAGTTTTGTGGCAGGGCATGTGTGTAAAATCTGTGAGTCTTGACCAGTGTTGTATCTGAGAAATTGATGAATAGGAAACAAAGGGGGTGTTATGTGTCCCTGAGGAGAGGTTTTATTAGAGATAAGAAGTGTAAGCTGTTGATACCTCAGAGCCTCTGGGTCAGTCTGCATAAACACAAAGGAATAAAAAAAGACATTTTTAAGATCTATGACAAAAATAACTATATCAGTTCTATGACTATGACTATATGAGTGGTAAGGCATGGCATGGGCAATGCAGGTGGGATTGGAGGTGTGTCAAACTATGGAATTGACCAGAGAAGAAATGAATCTGGGACCTGCATGAATAAGGCCCTGTCTATAAATACTGCATAGGCTGGTCATCAAGACCCACTGTAGAGATTGAGGACTTAATATAGTGACCTGAAAACTAAGGAACACTATTCATGGCCTCTATGTCCACAAGTATAGAGAATGTCTTACCTGAGACATCTAGTGGTACTTAGAGCTCTGAAAAGGACAACTTACTGGGGGCTGTGGGCCACAAGACACATTAATCTTCATCAGCAAGTCTAGCAGATCTGTCAGCCATGAATCTGGCAGTGGTAGCGTTTCCTGTGAGGAAAAGGAGTTAGAAGATTGCTTGCCTGCTCTCTAGTGGCTAGAACAGTTCAGTGTCCCTGGGGTGAGGTCTCAAAGGAATGCCAGGATTGGGACATTCTCTTGTGCAATGTCCTTCCTTGCTGCACTTGAAGCATGGTCTGGGAAGGGCTCAGGCAGCTCTACCTTTTGTCAGTTTACCTGTCTCAGAGCTCCAATTGTCACTGCTAAAAGATCAGATTGTTATTTTTTAATCTCTGTTGCTGAAAACATGAAAAGCCATATTAAGAAGTTCTCCCTGTGGGGTTTGAGGACCAAGTTTAGCCTTCTGTCTTTGGATCTGGCCCACAGTGGAAGGTATCTGTCACTTTTACATTCACAAGACATCTGGTTTTTTATCTTGGGTAGGTGTATCAATTAAGTCGAAAGGAGACAAAGGCAAAGAATCCCTTAATTATGCAGGAGTCAAATAATACAATCAACAGGGTATTTATGATTATTACTTTAGTAATGGCTTCTCATAAGGAGGATAAGGTCCAGGGAATTTTAGAAACTGACATGTCATTCATTTGACATATATAAGTACCTCTTATGCTGTTAGAATGTCTAGTGCCATCTGATTTTTGGAGGATGGCCTGTTTTATTAATTTTACTTTTTTACTTGGGAAAGAGATCAGCTACAGTGTCATTTAATGCCAGATGAGTATCATTAATTATGGCGCAGTGGAGGGCTGAGCCAGGGCCAGTGCACAGGCTGGGAAAGGCTCATACCTGGCCCTTGCCCCTGTGCTGGTCTCTTTGTTCTGCATGTATCATATAATCTTTTATTTTTTTCTGGAAAAGATCCAGTGGATCCTAGCAAAAGGAATCCAAAAGGAATTTATAATTATCTCTTAATTTCAGTTGTTGAACATTCAGAAAATTGATAACAATACAGTGCAGTATAGGCAGTAAACTTAACTGAGAACATTAAATGGCTGTTAACCATGGGTATTTTAATATTTGAGCACTGAAGAAGTTTGTGAAGCATCTCTAAACAAATGTCTAGATCTGAAAGAAAATACTTATCATAATTACATGAATTTTTGTTTAAAAATTATTATTTGACTGGTAACATCATGTTGGTCTGTTCTGAATCTCCTGGTTGGAAAATAAGAAAAAGTCAGCAAAAACAATCCCAATTTTATATCTGAAGGCATGAATATACTATCAGATGAGCAACAATGAATTGTCTTAGTCATATGAACTTTAGTTGTGGTATCTCCCATAAGGCTATGGAGATTATTGGGGACTTGAATTACTGACCAAGAGCTGGTTAAAATTACCATGTGGACACTTTCCTGTTTATCATTTGAAGTCCTGTCCAAAGTCTCCTCACCCCAAGGAATTTTGATTAACCAATTTTTGTATCATTGTGACCAGCTGGCAAACTAGGTGAAGCATGTTTTCTAAATCTATATCCCAAATAAAATTTGATTAAATGGTTTGAAAATTGCAAAAAGAGGCAAAAAGATTGGTGAGCTCAAATAAAAATGAACAGCTGTTTACAGGGCAGGCAAACGGATAAACATGGGCAGATGATACGTACATTATAAATGGACTGAACCAACAGACAACAAATATATAGACTGACAATATCTTATAAAATTAGAGTGCACTCAATTACAGTTGACCAATCTGAACTATAATACATTGACTAGTTTGAACCTTCTTGTAGTCCAAATAGAGATCTCTTGAAATAAGAATAGCAGAAAAGTAACCTAATTTATGGCTAATCTGAGATAGCTTAGAAAGTGAAAAATGAGTGCCAGGGGACCCCACCTTGCCACCTTGCTGGGAGGCCCTTGCCCCCCCCCCCCCCATTATCCTGTCACCACCTCCTCTGCACCGCTACCTGGAACCAAACTTTGGGTCTGACCAGAGCTGAGCCATGCACAGGGAATGGGACTGCCTGGGGGGGGGGGCACATGGAGCCCACAAGGGAGTGCAGAGCTGGCACATGGTGTGAGATCCCAGAGCAGCCTGCGCAGGCCAGTCCATGTGCACCATGCACTGTTGCCACCCGCCCTGCCTGCACACAGCCAAACACAGTCCATGTGCACCTCCCCAATTCCCAGCCACCTTCCTGCTCTGAGGAGGAATTGAGAAATTGGAGCCAGGTGAGTGAAGCAGGAGGTGAAGATGATACAGGGGTCTCTGCCTTTGGTTGAAAAAGCTACAGAATTTGGTGTTTGAGATTCAGACAAGAAACTGTAAAGAAAGGAGTGGCATTCTAAGTGTTGGGCTGGGGAGAGATCCTGAAGGAGCAGAGTAAAAGACACTTCCTTAAAGTGAAAAAGGCCTACAGATGAAGAGTTTCTGCTACCTTGCCACCCTTGTGATGAAAACATACATGACACATCAGCTTTCTGGATTTTCATAGCCTTTTAGAGGCCAAGAGCACCAAGGTTATGAATCAGGCACCTCAAAGTGTGTTTACTTGGGGAGAAGAAAAAGTATTTCCCATGATTGAATAAAATTAAAATGAGCCAAAAGTGAACTTTGGCTACTCCAGAAGCAGGTCGTCACCTAATCTTTTGGATGCACGGTTAATGGATTCCAACTCTTGCCCTCTAGCCATCACCAAAAGGCATTGGTGGAGTCCCAGGGGACTACAGTAATGGCTCTGTCTCAGATTGCTCAAGGAATATGAGAACCGCTACTTCAGTTCAGTGATGGAAAAGTAAGATCCAGTTTTGGACATGCCCAAAATTACGAAGTGATCCTTGGATGGGTGTTGACTCAACTGCAGTAAATGAATTAGGCCGGTGTTGTTTGCAGACCAGCAGCAACAAGTTGAGCATCTCCAGTGTGTTGAGAAATGAATTAATCCAGGAGGCAGTCCAGTCAATGAATCAGCAGGGGCCTCAAACTGCGAGGACCCCAGGAGTCACTCACACTCAGGTTCCTGGCCAGGGAACTAACTGATAGGATTTTTGCCTGAATTAGATGGCAGAAAATAAAGTAAAATGGCCTTTATTTTAAGTATGTGGAGAGAAACTCCATTACTACTGGGGCCTGGCTTTCTCTGCTGGACACATGGTGTCGGGCATATATATATATTGGCCTGTGGTGGTGCCTAAAGGGGCATCACTGACACCCAAGCACCCATTGGAATTCATTTTGCACCACAGGTAAATTGCCTAGGGGTAGGGAAAATGACCTCAAGGTAAATGTCCTTTGGTCAGGCATCTCACTGCTGTAGTGTCCTATCTAGGGCAAAACCCTTTCAACAAGTTCCTAAGGTGCCATCCATCTGGAGTTTAACTCAGAAAGCCCAGTTCCTCAATGAAGGTCTCCTGTAAGGACTCTGTATACACCTTCACAGACGGCCTCATACAATGGTGTGACGGAGGCTCTGGTCAGTGCCTGGAATGGATGAGATGGACTGATCCAGCAGGTGGAGAAAATAAATACGCTCAGAAATTCCACAGCAGGGGCCCCTCACCTCATACATCCTCTAGCAGAGCTTACATGGAACTGAGCAGCCTGAGACTCCAGGACATGGCCATGCATTACTGTGCAAGAGACACAGTGTGGGGCCATCTGTGTGAGCCCAAACATAAGCTTCCCTGTGGGAGAACTCATGAACAGCAGGATGCAATTCAGAGCAGCAGCCATTATTTTTACCACATGGAATCTCCACATTCCCCCCTTTTCAGCTACCACAACAGTGAACCAGAGCCTGGGAATAATCCAGAAGGAAAGAACTGCCTGACATGCTCATGACCTTCTGGACAATTTCAAACAGAATAGGTTTTTAGTTCAGTTGTCTTTCATTTCCATCCATTTCCAAAAATGGGAGGTGTCAATTACAATGATATTTGCTAGATATTGAATGAAAATTGGGAAAAAGTGAACAAATCAATTCACTTTATGTTTATTTAAATACATAGCTATCAATTAACGGAAACATTAACAATATACAGAGAGTTTCATTATCCAGCACCAGCTTTCTCTATTATTGGCATTTCATATTAGCATGCTCCTTTTACTTCACATGAAACATCAATCATGACATGCGGTTATTAACTCAAAAATTTTAACTGAGTCTCTTTTTTATTCTTCAAATGTTACCATACTATTTTGTCAACTAAAAATTTGCTTCAAGCAGATTGTAAATGTTTAATTTAGATTATTTTAAAAGAAAATCATATTACTAGGGCTTTTAAGATAATGTGTATTTATTTACAATTGAATGATGTATTATATTCTACAGCTTTGTTTCTTTTTATTAGCATGTGCCTTATATACAGTACATATTTTGTGTATGTATGTGTATGTATATCACACTCATGTATATATAGGTCACTTTTTAGGTGTACATACATATGTGCACATCTACTTTCAAGGAAGCAATTGAAAACTAGAGAACAAGTTTCTGAGCACAATCTTGAGAAACCACTACAAATCACAAGCTATTGTGTTGACATTCCCCAAAAGCATAAATATAATATCTGAGTGACACATTACTAAACAAGATATGTAAATGCAAATAGTCATGTGAATGCCAAAGTGCTATTATTTTAATTATGGAAACCCCAATTAATTATCAAGAAATCACAAAATGCTTTTTTCAGTGAATCCAGTCCTCACATGATATTACCAGCCTGCTAACCTGCTGAGCAGTAGAAACTCACACTCCTTGCTGCTGGAAGCTCAACAAAACAAAACTACATAGAAGACACTGAGATGCACAGCCAGACTTCATCACAAAGCACAACACAGGAAAAAATATGCCTCAGTTTTTTTTCTTACAGATTAAAAAAGGGACTGAAGGAAAGAAGGGAGAGATTGGTGAATGAATACTGAGGGATTGTTCTATGGAACAAGAGGCACTAGTTGCTTTTGCAAATTGATATCAGTATAGGTAACAGTACCACACTGTGAATTTCACAAAGCTAGCAGAACTGAGTTGGGATGATTTTAACCTAAAGGAGAAAAATTCTTCTCCTGATTTATATTCAGCATGAGTTTCACAGGTATTTAAACATCACATGTTTTCCCTAAGATAATTAAAAACTTCATGATTTTAGGATACATTTAAAGAAATTAAAATAAGTAAAATAAAACAAAAAGGTATATTCCACAAACATTAGCATGAAGTTACTTGTTTCTGCTTAACTCATAACTGCCCCATATGGCAAAGAATAGTGTCATTCAATATATGAAATGATAAAGAAATGTGGGACAAAAATAGACTGAAATGCTCCTGATAATGATGTGCTTTATTTTTAAAATATGTCCATTTTGCTTTCTGAAAGTCACATAGTTTCTTGACCTCAAGTATTTGTTTTTTCTAAATTTGATAAAAGTTCATTTGCTCTTCTATCCACTTTCCTTCCGTTGACATTGTGCTCTCCCTTGAAGGTGTCAGATCACTCCCATCATCTAAATATAGATACACACAGATTCTTCCAGATCCCTCTGCTCCCTGACAGTCTTTTTCCTGTTCAATTCATTTCCCTACTCTTCCATTATACACCAGAGTTAGTGTGGAGGCTTTTGTCACAAGTCTTAACAGTTGCAGAGTATCTATATTTTGGAGCATGACACAAAGGGCCAGATGACAAAATCAATATGCTGTGAAGATTTTGCCTGGAGATCATCATCAAGGCAGCAGCCCTCTTCTTTTGGAGACACACTTATGAGGAGTCTTTATCTCCAATTCATGTACTGTTCAATTTGAATAGAATCAGTTTTGACTGAATTATCCTCCCTGTGCTGTCTGCAGTACTCTCTCTGTGCTGCATGGAGATCAAGGCTTCCCTCCTTCCTGTGGGCCTCACCTCTCAGGCATCAAAAACACCAGCAAACCTCAGTCCAGATACATCAGCCCCATCCTCTGCCTTGCTGTCACTGGCTGTTACCTGCCCTAAGATTTGAGCACACTCTTCTCAGATATGAACTCTCAGCAACCCAAATCTTGCTAAAAATTTGGCGTGCACTAGGTCATTATCTTGTATCAGAGCCAGCACAGTACTCACCTGTGTAGATAGAAGATGTCTGGAGAAGATATCAATATGAATTATGACTAACATGGATGAAACAGTTCCATGCATGTGGGGCCAAGGTAGAGACCACCAGTAGCATCAGCTGGAACATCACTTTCAAAAAAGGTTTCTCCAGAAATTAGTATAAAAGCCACAGAATGCTGGACTGACAGAAGACAAACTGAAACCTTCAATATTTTCTTTATGTGATCATCACCTACAGCTTGACACTGTGTAAAGACATAGAACAGAGAATACATCTGCCAGGGCTGACTCCCATATCAGCAGTGACACATTCAGCAGGTCCCACCCATGAGGGCCTGATGTGAGGATGCCCTGTTGTCCCAGCTCAGTCCTTATACAGCCCCTGATTCACACATGCAAATCATCCTACATGCTAGCAGAAGAAATCTCTGTCACCTGCAGGTTAGAAGTGGAGGTCTTCATCCTGCAGGCAACATGGAGATGCTGTGGACCCTTCCCTGTCTAAAGGCAACTCCACTGAGTGAGAGTTCTGGGGTATCTAGTTCTTTGTAGGGGTCAGGATATGGGAAGGGAAAGACTCACAATGTCTCCCCTTGTCCTCAGGTGTGCTATTTGATATGACACTTTGAGAATCAGGACCCAGCCTGGTGAAGCCCCTAGAAACCCAGATCCTCACCTGCAATGTCACCAGTGACTCCATCACCTGTAGTTATGCTTAGAGTTGGATTCACCAGCCTCCTGGGAAAGCACTACAGTGGATGAAGTACTGGACATGGAATACAAAATAAAACTCAGGCTTCCACGACTGCATCTCCATCACAGCTGACACAGCCCACAATTTTTCCTTGCAGCTGTACTCTATGACCTCAGAGGACATGGTGGTGTACTACTGTACCAGATTTCAGGAGTTTCTCACCTGGCCCAAGTAGCTTCTTCTCACTCCCGCTCCTTCCCAGGTATAAACCAACACTCTGCACAATAAGAACATGGCTTAAAGTCAGCACCTGCCAATTCCACACATATAAAAGCACTGATTTTTTTATATTTGCTATTGTTTATTTGTTAAATATAGAACAATGGTTATATTGCATTAAATATGGTATATAATCATCCTATCACTCTTTGAATATAATAGCATTTATTCCAACCTAGATTTTAAGCGTGGTGTGATTCCTTCTCTAAGAGTTTATTTATTTCAGTAATACAGTCATACAGTTTTATTACAATTATACAGTGTTGTTCAACTTTAGAAGCTTGAGAAAGGTCTTCATTAAAATTGACTCATCAGCTTTTTCAAACTAGTGTTTTCTTTTTCATCTGTTTTATAATATTAGAAAATATAGAAACACTTTGTAGAAGCCTATTCAGATGTAATTTGTGTCTTTTGGTCTTTAGATTTAGTATAATGCTTTTTCCTTTCTTTTGATGTGGTTTCTAATATCAAGACATCATCATAGGCACAGTGGTTCCCAGACACAGGCAAGATAAGGATGGTGTCTTACCCTTTGCCCATAGGGTCCTCATCTGCTCATGGAATTCTTCACTAGTAACATCTTAGTTTGGCAGCAATGCCCCTTTGTGGGCAGAGTGGCTCAGGGTTTTTCTCTCATATCCTAGCCAGCACTTCCTAAGGAATCTAATTCCTTGGTTTAATGTATGAAAGACCTTAAATCTCCCTACAGTTTTAAGCAAAAATTGTGGGTGTTACCTGGTTCAGTGGTGGCAGATACACTTCAAAACAGCATGTTGTACACCACAAACACAATTTCACTTGTCTGTTAAGAACTAAGTTTGCTTTCTACTAAGATCTTCTGAGGTGGAAATCTAATTCCAATCCCATGTCCCCATTGCTGTTGAGAGACACACTTGTGTGAGAAACACACTTCCTAAATGTCTTACTTTCCATAAATTTCAGTCTGAATTCAAATATTAACAATTGTGTCTCTGCCTCACTCACTGCAGGATCATTTGCTGGTGGAAGTACATGGAGCAATTCACCCAGTGCTTTAGTGTGTGTCCTCAAGTAAGCAGGACACTTCCAAAGAAGATCCATTTTGCGGGAAAAGAATGAATTGTAAAATTTGGAAGGGGGAAAATGGCAAGGAAGAGAAAATGTGTAAGTGCAGTGCTAGTGACATAAAATCTGCAAGAGTATGAGGGTAAATTCCTGATGCACATAAAACAGGTATATGATAATCATAGTGACAACAAGAAATAAATTGAAATAATTATAATTATTCACAAAATCTAAAAGACTAGAGAAACCGTTACCTGAATGATTATCTGGTGTAGAAGGAAAATTATCTTTATGTGAAAGAGTATATATTTTGGCCAAACCATTTGAGAGCCTTCCAAAGAGGTGTAACTAAATTCTTTTTCCTGTGACACAGTGATCTAACTCATTAATATCTTTTCTTCATCCAAAACTCATTAGAGAACAAGTGGCTGTAATTATGCAGAAATGTTGGTTGATAATAATTTTACCTTCCCACAATTTTTTTGTCCACACTAAGAACGGCAAAAAAAGTATAGGTCATCACCTTCTCAGTTTTATAAGGAAAATGTCCTCCAACTCATGGCACTTGGTAAGTATCTGAGTCCATTTTCGGTGGCTGGAAAAGAATGGATGGAGCAGATTGAATAAGTTCAATAAGTTGAAGGATGAGGGTTCAATTGTCAACCTTTGTTATAGTCAGCCAAATGCTTGGCACAAGCCTCTGCTGATTTAAAAAGAGCACTTCACATTGGGTGTAACCAAACCAGTGGCATCCTGTGTGAGACACTAAGTGGCCAAGAAAATAGCCCCTCACCAACAACCTACTAATCCACTGTACCATTAGAGGGTGAATCAAGCCATGACCAGGTTTTCAAAACCCCAGCACCTGCCTATATTTACACTTTCAAATACTAATATTTCTTATATCCTGTTCATTAATCTGTTAATTCCTTTTTCCATTCTCTGCTCTCACACACCTCTATTTTGACTAGTGTAGCTACTGAATTTATGAATCTTTATGTGACTAATATACATTACAGTATTGCCTTTGAATAATGTTCTACATTTTAGAGGTAAATATATTCCATTTAGTAGATATTTACTTTAGTTAACAGCAGGTCAATATTTTTTTTTGTCTTGGCATTCATACCATAAATATAGATATGTTTTCTATTGATAAGTGTAGTACTTTATTGGTCCTTAGGGTTGCTATTCATTTTGCATTTAATGACACAGTGGCTACTGATTTAATTACCATACCAAAGTATTGCTATTAATTGACTTTCTTTGACATGCAAATATCTACATTAACTTGGTGTTATTAATAATATTGTGACCCATTATGGAGAAATGTGTATCAGGCCCAGCATGCTACAAACTTACATATCAATTAAACAGAAGTGATTCAATCTTGGGACACAAGGCAATGGCTGCTGGTTTACCCCTTCCAAGGAACATCACTGAAAATCAGAAATTAACCAAAGACATCTCTACAATAAGTAATACACTGTAATAAACTAACTATTCTCAACACAAAACAAACAAAAAACACAAATAGAAAAACAAGTAGGCAATCCAACAGAATTCTTCCCAGAAATTATAACACTCCCAAAACTCAACTGTGTGGCACTGATGGTAAAGAAACCAAAAAACCTCAAAGTGAATCATTCTACATGATTCGAGGGGCATAACAAAAATCTTTCAATTTGAAAACTGGCACAGGCACAGAAGGAATAAGTAATAAGACATTGGACCTGTTGAATCTAGTTATGAACAATGCTAAAAAATGCACTGAAAGAATATAGAAAAGCTAAGCTAATTATGTGAGGCACACATGATAATGATGTGACATGAATGAGGGAGATGTTGAAGAGGAAACCAATGTGAATTCTGAAAGACTCATATTTGATGGAGTTAGACCATTACAGTCCCAGATAGATGGGAAAAGTACATTGTGCACCTCCTCAAGTAAGTCACCTGCATGGAGTGTTCTCTGGACATTGCATTGGGAGTACAGCCTGATGGCCTCATGGTGCAAGGGAATGATTATAAAATAGTAAAGGCACAGTTAGCACAACAAACTTAAAGATGTGAGAGCAAGTGAAAAATCAAATTGTGGCCTCTGCCTAACCTCCTGCTGCTTTTCATATAAGCACTCTGCTACATTCAGGCATTCAGGGAGCCTTGACTGCTCCGCTGCTTTCTGCTGATCATGCACTGATCAAGCAGACTATTCCTAGCTGTGATTCCCTTAGTTAAAAGAACATATATCCTGTTTCCAACTTGTTTCAAGGTCTTTGATTTGAACAAAGTGATACAATCAAGGATATTTTAAACTTTGCTTGCTCCACTCAAATCCCTTCTCTTTGTTCCCATTGTGTTCCTACATCACATTAAATGATGGCTTTTAAGTAAGTGTATTTAGAGTTAAGTTGCCTGAAAATATGTGACTTAATTAGATTCAGGGGACCAATCATGTAATAGCTTAATCTACCTTGAATTCCTGCTTGAAAATTATTTAAACTGAACTCAAAGCTGGGTCTTCATTGATAATTTAGAAACAATAGGCCCCCAGCCCACTCGTGTTGAGATCACTAAAGTAGCCTGCTAGATTCCGCAGTGTGAAGAGCATTCTACCTCTTTTGACATTGGATCATGCCTAACAACTACATCAACCACACATGAAAGCCACAGAACAGAGGACAGCTTAGGCATGGATAAATGTCACATGGTCAGTGCTAGGCTGGGCAGCTCCCATACACAGTAATGCCTAATCTTGGACACATTGATAGTCACCCTGGCTCAGCATCCCATATGTTACCTTTCAACACATAAGTGCAAATTAGGTCAGGGGCTAGCAGAATAAATTTCTGTCAGCAGCTAAGCTATTGTGAGTGTCCTCATCCTGCAGGCAACATGCAAACAACATGAACCTTAGGGTTAGTCCTGAGGTCTCTAGATGTTTAAGGGGTCTGGCTGTTGGATTGGGCAAGTCTTTATGACTCCTATTGTCCTCATGTGTGCGGTCTGATCTGACACTTTGTGAGTCAGAATCGAGCCTACTGAATGAGATGAGCTCCAGTCCTTCACCTGCACTGCCATGAGGAGCTCTTTTGCAATAACTACTGGAGTTGGAGCCACCAGCCTCCTGGGAAAGCTCTACAATGGATGGGATACTTGTTAGGGAGCACAATCTACCACCTGGCTTTCCAAGTCTGCATCTCCCTCACTGGTGACACAAATAGGAACCACTTTTACCTGCAACTGAACTCCATGACTTCCAAGGACACCATCACATTTTACTGAGCAAAACACACTGAGAAGACCTCAGTGTAAATTCAGACATAAACCTTGGTTGCTTTTAACTGGCAAGAGGTTCTCCTGATCAACAATAACAACAACAATAACAACAAAAGAGTTTCAGGTGCATATGCTGTGTTGTTAAGGATGTCCTTATGATGTGTGACATGATACTTGCTACCCAAGCATTTCCAGCTCTGTGTCTCCACATCCCTCCAAGTCTGCCATGTAAGTATTGACAGGAATCACTGCTCATATTTTGCTACTCTTGTTTCCTATGGGTGTATCTTTAATTGTGCTGAAAAACAAATTTCTCCTCACCAACCTAGCAGCTTCACTCTAGATTCATATATACCATTGCTTTCTTAATATGGCAATTAATCATCATCTAAAATGAATGTATTAATTTTTTCTGGATAACAATCACTTTTATCATTGAGGAATAAATGCTTCACTTTAGTAAATTAAGTGCATCAAGTTCTTATTTCTAAGTTCTGAGAACTCAAAGTTCTCTCTTCTCCTTGGCCCCCTCAGAAGTCCTAATCACACACTTCAGCACCAGCAACACACAGAGACCCCAGGGAAGAAGAAAAAAAGGCAGCCTGGCTGGACTCAGGGCAGAATCCAAGGGCTTTCATGTTCTCTTCCTATGAGAGTGCATTGAGTGGAACTTTGGCCTGTTCTTTCCATTTAAACTTTAGAACTTAGGGAATCATTAATTCAGCAAAATACAATGTAGCCATGGTCACACTTATCCTGGGAAGTCAGATGCACCTCCACCTCCTCTGCTTGCCTTGCACTTGAGTTGGACCAGCATCATCATTGATGTGTCCTTGTTTTAAGGGCTGAGATTTCCTATTCCTGATGTGATGTCCCACGTGCATCTTTTGTTTCCAGGTCAAAACAAGGACATCTTCCAGAATGCATCATCTCCTGAGATTTAGTCAGATTCTCTCTGATGTATCTTCTTAATTCCAGTTAACAATACTATGTCTAAAACATTTCATGTATTTCCTTCTCTTTCTTTCTCTGTTATTGCATTTTCAGTCATGGATGTGCAAATGTCATTTTCAATTATTGATCCTATAACCCTAATTCCACTGAGTTCAAATTTGGCTGCTGAAGTTGTACATAGCTTTTTCTCCAACTTGTAAAGAAATAGAAAATTATTATCACATACTCAAATCTACGAAAATCTGGATAAATTAAACATCATTCTCTTTTGATTCACCAATGAAAGAAATACATTTGCAGACTGAATGAACACAAATTATCATAGAGAGACAGAATATCCAGATCCCAGGGAAGCAGTGCTTCCTGGTATAGCAAGTGCCTCAGGCCCACAGTGGAGGGAGCACTGATATCAAGATGCTGGATGACTGGAGGACAGGAGAGGACCATGAGAAGTTAACATCACATACTAGGTGCCACAGAGTCCACATGTTACCTCCAGAAGCTCTCAGAATCTCAAGAAAAATATTAATAATAATCATTCAGGTCCCTGATACAGGGAAAAGAGTATTGATCATTGAGAAATGGACACAGAACTTGGTGCAGATGGAAGGCAACACGAAGGACATTTTCAGAAATGGATCCTATATAGAGATAACATATTTCATGTACAGAGCTCAGAGTTCAAATATGATCTGGAACAATTAAAATAATTCACAGATGAAATAAATGAAAGCAAATGGGCAGTCTCAGAAAGGAACAGTTGTCAGGGGATAGTGATCCAAATCCCTAGACTTTTATTGTGGGTGTCACATGATAGGAAATCCTAGGGATCACAGAATCCCACAGCATCAGGCACACTGTGTGATGAGATAGGACTGGAGCTGAGGGAGCGCCAGGACCCAGGTTCACCTGAGAGAATTTAGTGAAGCTGCAAGTGGCAGAGGAGACAGGGGAGAAGAGAGGGCAACCTTGAACAGCATCTGCTTCCACAACCTCCATACCATGCTCAAAGCATTTTTCCCTCTCCCCTTCATGATCACTGCAATGGCTATCTCACATGCACATTTGGGACATCCAGGTGTGCCATGAGATGCAGCTGAAGTCACAGACCCAGAAGGACACACTGGACAGACATTTTCCTTCAACTAAGTAGCCACACACCTGACATACTCATGGATGTTTGTGTTCATGTCTATCCTGGTTTCTCAGGTCAACAATGGAAAAGCTTAGTATCTGGACCCACCACACTAGCATTGTGCCCATCCTGGCTAGAATGTGTCCTGTAGAATATAAGTCTCATAGATGGAGATGAATTCTCTCATCACGCAACTGTCGCCTCCAATTGGTGACCCTGAAACTAATCCACCAGGGTCAGTGGACAAAGGTGTTGATACTCAGTGACCTTTTTCCATGTGTAGGAGAAACACTAGTGCATGCATAAGATCAATACGGGTCCCTGTCTGTGGTACACAGAGCAGAAGGGAATTTAACAGGGGACCTGCCTTACACTTCAGTAAAGGGAAACTTTCCCAAAAAGGGACCTGTTCCTCAAGGATTTGGATCCATGCATGATTTAAAAGTAAAAGCTTGTAAAGACTGCAATTCTTTGGTTATCTATCTTCTATAGGGGTCCCTGAGAAGGACAATCTGCAGAAATACGGCACTACTTCATCCACAGATGTCCTTGTTTTCCTTTGACAACACCAGCAGTTATCTTGGCCAGAGGAGTTATTTTCTGCATAGATGGATGATACATCTTCAGGACCCCAGTGCAGAGGGTAGGAAATCTGGGTTGGAATTTATAGGTCTTCACAATTTTACATCCTTATTTTGCATTGCCACATTGAAGTGACAGCAGTACCATGAAGGAAGGCCTTGAGAATACTGGATGTGAAATAGGATGGCTCAGAGCCAAAGAAGCATTAGGGACCTATAAAAGTACCTTTTATTCAGTCATCCTTGTGTCCCAGATAAGAAACACCTGTCCAGGGAAAATGGACACAGGGAGGTGTAAGCAAAGGTAGGTGTAACCCTCCTGCAGGGGCCATTTCCTTCTCAAGCAGACACTGCCAGTGGACTAAGGGCCTTCACTAAATCCTAAAATGCCAATCCTGGTGTTTGCCTGGGGAATATGAGTGGTTAGTGACAGAGCAAGGATATATCAGGATCAGGATGGAGCTGGAGATAGTGGTGTCTGAGCTGGATGTAGGACATGTCAAGTATCCCATCTTTGAATGCTCAACTTAGATGGAAGGAAGCAGTACAGTGTCTCTAGTCAATAATTTTGTTTTAAATTTTTATATAACAATGTCAGTTGTATGTTGTATCCCACTTGTTACTCCTTAGCAATTTGTAGGGTTGGAATGATTTGTTCACACTGATGCTAGATGTTATGCACACTACAGGCTTTAATTCAGTATAATGCATTCAACTCCAAAGACCACTCCAAGAGCCTGTTTTGCAGCAACTGGCCTTTGTGATCATGAGGATGCTGCTGAGCATCACTGCGTGAGACACAGGGATTGAGATTTGAGTTCACTAAGATACAACAACCATGTGGAGACAGAAAACTGAGCTTTAGGGCACTGATGGGCTGAGCTGCACAGTGACACAGGTCATAGCTGTGTAGAGAAGAACAGGGGCTCCCATTGGGGTTGTTGAATCCCTGTGTTTTCACAGACATATAGACAGAGACACAGACACAGAGAGAAACAGAAACATAGACACACACACACACACACGCACACATGCACATAGTGTCCTTGGACCCTGCCTACTTTGATGTAGCTATATCATCTCTTACTCTGCATGTTGGTCAACATGGGGTGAGCTCCTGTGTTCTATCTCACATTTGCACCATGGGCTGATCTTCAGAATGTATGAGATAAAATACACCTAGAGGAAATTTCCATTTCTAATGCCTGGATTTTTCAGGCACTTTATCACAGTGATAGAAAGTTCATAACACAAATGCAGAATGGTAAAAATTCAGTTACCATCTCTTCTTATAAGCACAAAGACACTCAGGAATCCAAAATTCATGAATAACATTTATTTAATATTAAGACCAATAAAGTACCTGTGCCCTGTGAAGGCTGTCACAGACATCTGCAGGAATTTCATATGGAACTTGATAGTGTAAGGTTTCCATTTTTTTCTAAGGAGTGAATTAGGGCCTCAAATACATCAGAAGCTTGATGGTTAGAAACAGAATTTTATGCAATTGATGTCAGATAAACCCATTACAATAAATCTAGTTACATACATGATTGGTAAATAAAACTGCATCAGCACACTTATGAAAAGTCTGTTATTCAAGAGGCATTGTTATTAGGTGGATAGAAAGGCTATTATCAACAGCCAACCAGTAATCATTATGGAGAAAGTTATTGGACCTGTTAATTTGGTACAAACTGAGCTCAGGGAAACACAATAACAAGGAATGTAGTTGTGGACAAAAACAGAAACTTAGGAGAGATATTTTCCTTTTTTTACTAAAAAGTA